GATGGGACCCCAGGGGGGCCCCCATAGGGGGAGGCGCCCTTTGCAGGGCTTCCTCTGAGACCAGCCAGGTGGTCGGATGTAACCCGCCCGCTAACACCCCCGGGGGCGGGGACGCGCGCCCTGTCCCTGACGCTCCCGAGACCCTGCGCTGTTGCGGGTTCTCCAAAACCCGCGCCCTGACGGCTGGTCTGCGCCCCCCAGCCCCGCAGGCATGGCCTCCTCTGTGAGGGCGATGGGGCACCTCCCGCCCTGGCCCCCAGGCCTGGCGCCCATGGCCTGCTGCTCCCGGGCCGCCCTGCGCAAGTGGCTGCCCATCCTGGCCTGGCTGCCCCACTACTCCGTGCACTGGCTGAAGATGGACTTCATCGCTGGGCTCTCGGTGGCGCTCACGGTCATCCCTCAGGCGCTGGCCTACGCCGAGGTGGCTGGACTCCCTCCCCAGGTGAGGCCTCTCCCCGCTGCCCCCCGCACCCCCGCACCCCTCCACACCGCGGCCTGCCCAGAAGCCCAGTAGAGGTGCATAGTATCACCTCCGGGCGAGGGGGACACCCCGGGCTCTGCCCCACGGGACCGAGAGGCCCTGGTTTACATCCAGAGCCCGGGGCTGCCTTTGGGCAGATGGGCCCCGGGACTGGTGCCGTCACGCTGCCCCCAGGCCCCGAGCTGGTGCTGGGGTGGCTGGGGTCCCGAGACGCTCGCGGAAGGGCGGTTCCTCAGACCCAGACGTCAACACAGGCTTTTGTGGCATCGAAGGCAGGTGGATCGAGGTCCCTAATCATTGCAGGTCGGACCCATGGGTCAGAGAGGGTGAGCAGCCCTGGCCAGTTTGGCTCAGTGGTTAGAGCGTCAGCCCTCGGACTGAAGGGTCCCGGGTTCAGTTCCAGCCAGGGGCATGTACCTCGGTTGCTGGCTCGATCCCCGGCCTGGCTGGGGCACGTGCAGGAGGCAGCCAATCGATGATGTTTCTCTCTCTCTACTCTCTGTGAAAAGCAGTGGGAAGAACACCCTTGGGTGAGGGTTGAGGGTGAGTGGTGTCCCTGCCTGTGTGCCCTGAGTCCACAGGTCCCTGTGCTCAGACGGCGACACCAGGGACCCCGCGAGCGTGCCTCCTGGATGCTCACTGCTCTGTCTCCCCAACAGTACGGCCTCTACTCTGCGTTCATGGGGTGCTTCGTGTATTTATTCCTGGGCACCTCCCGGGATGTGACTCTGGGTCCCACGGCCATCATGTCCCTCCTGGTCTCCACCTACACCTTCCACGAGCCTGCCTACGCCGTGCTGCTGGCCTTCCTGTCGGGCTGCATTCAGTTAGCCATGAGGTTCCTGGGCCTGGGTAAGGCTCTGGGCCTGCCTTCCGTGGGGGGGCGGGCCTGCAGTTCTGCTCTTCCCGGGGAACTGGGCACCTGCCTCTTGGAGATGTCCTGCCCTCAACGTTCTCTTTGCATTTCAAGGGCTGTCTCTGTGAGGGTGGGGTGGGGGTGCCCTCAGCCCCCAGCGCCATCCTGTTCTGCTTAGGAGCCAGGACCCTTGGAGCAGGGCCCAGCACCTCAGACCCTAGCCTCCCCTCCCTGCCCTCCAAACCAGACTCAGCCCCAGTCCCACCTACAGCCCCTCTCCCAGCCCACGTCCACCCGTGTCCTCCGGGACCAGCACAGTGTCCCTCTTGGCCCGCCCACCAGGGTTCCTGCTGGACTTCATTTCCTGCCCCGTCATCAAAGGGTTCACCTCGGCTGCTGCCGTCACCATTGGCTTCGGGCAGATCAAGGTGAGCCTCCGAGTGGCGGACGCAGCCTCTGGCCAGTGGTGCTGGGGTCTGCCTGTTGGGGGGCAGGGTGCTCAGTGATGGATGTGGGTATGAACCAGTTACAGCAGGGCCTGCGAGGCCGAGCTGGGCCCGACCCCTGACTAGGGCACCGGGTGACTTGCTTTGAGATTGTCCAGAGTGATTTCCCCCGGAAATGAAAATAAGTTCCAAAGGTGTGTCATTGACCCCCAAATGTTGTGAAACGCCTTTTCACCTGCGGATGACTTTGACCCATCTTGGGGGACTTAGGGAATGGGCAGGTGGTCCCCGGGAAGGGCCCCTGTGTTTGGGGAAGGCCGTCTAATCAGAGCCCCTGTGTCCGGACAGAACCTGCTGGGACTACAGCACATCCCCAGACAGTTTGTCCTGCAGGTGGACCACATCTTCCGCAGCCTCGGAGAGACCAGGTATCCTGTGGGCTGTCCCCTGCCTCCCACAGGGAAGCTCTTCCAGACCCTGCTTCTGGCCCCACCCCTTCCACTCCCAGGCCGGGCTTCTTCCACCCTCTGGGGACTTGCTCAAACGGGTCCCCAGGGCAGCACTGTCAGCGTCGCCCCGGAGTCGGCCGCCCAGGCATGCTGACTCAGTCAGGAGCTCCTGGAGGGGTGAGGGGTCAGGGGTCTGCTCTGGGCAGCCTGAGGGCCGGTTGGCGTGACCCTGTGCAGAGCTGTCTCGGGTGGTAGCCGTGGGAAGAGACCGCGTCATAGGGGAGAACAAGGCAGCCTCTTAGAAGGTTCACGGTTCAGTGCGGGAGAGAACAGGGCACGAGGCAGACAGATGCCCACAGGTGCCGGTGCTGGAGGGACGGGGCAGGGAGAGCAGTGCTGAGGCCCGGAGGGAGCAGGGACCTGTGACCATCTCCTCCCTTTCGGATCTGCTGAGGCTCCCGGGGGCTGGCCGCACTGTGACCCGGGACGTGCAGCTGGTGGGAGTCGGAAATGGAAACTGACCTGCCCGGCCGGCGTGGCTCAGCGGTTGGGCATCAACCAGGAGGTCATGGTTCGATTCCCAGTCAGGACACATGCCCGGGTTGGGGGCTCGATCCTCAGCAAAGGGCGTGCAGGAGGCAGCCGATCAGTGACTTTATGTCATCATTGATGTTTCTGTTTCCCTTCCTCTTTGAAATCAATACAAAAAACCGCACATACATATTTTAAAAAGAGAAAGAAGTGGAGCCTGACCGGAGGGGGAGCAACACAGGCTGTCGGAAGGGAACCTTCTAGGACAGGCCTGTGGAGCCCAGAGAACCACACGACTGGGAACGTGAGCGTGGGGCCCCGCTGCCGTGGTGGTCGGACCTGTGTACTTACTGAGTTTTGGGGGAAAAAAATTGAAATAGAACAGGGGTGCAGATTTCTTAAGAAAAAGCCAAAAGAGCGAGTGAGAGAAAGCTTTCCCACAGAAGCGTCGCCTGTAGGCCAGAGGGCGTGTGCCACTGGCCAGGCTAGGCGGTGACGGTGACCGGCGTCTGTCCGCAGGGTGGGTGACCTCGCGATGGGGCTCATCTCCTTGCTGCTGCTGCTGTTGCTGAAGCTGCTGCGCCACCACATGCCCCCCATCCACCCCGAGATGCCCCTCAGTGCACGACTCAGCCACGGGCTGGTGTGGACAGCCACCACAGGTGAGGGCCTTCTGCCTGAGGCCCCGCTCCCACCGCTGTGCTGCGCAACCTGGACAAGCTCCTGGGGGTGCCCCGGGAACTTGTGGGAAATGCAGATTCTCAGGCCCTGACTCGGAACCTACTTCTGCTCTGCTCCTGCACAGAACTGTCCTGGGACATGTGGTCTCAGAGCAGGTCTCAGCTGTGCTGTGGGCTGGGCGGTCAGTGGTGACCTGTAGAGGACATGGGTACTGGCCGTGGGTGGGCCTGTGGGCTTCCCCCTCTGCTCCCTGCTTTGCATCTTCCACGTGTCTGGGTTCGTGGTACCGTGGGGGGGCTTCAATCCGCACCATTTCCCAGGGTGGAGGGTAAGGGGCCGTGGCTGGGGCGGGGTCCTCTGCTCCTTACCGGGAGGAGCCAGGTGTCACCCCAGGTCTCTCCACCTGTCCCAGCTCGCAACGCCCTGGTGGTCTTCTTTGCCGCCGTGATGGCGTACTCCTTCGAACTGACTGGGTACCAGCCTTTCCTTCTAACTGGGAAGATAGTCAAGGGCCTCCCTCCAGTGCAGACCCCGCCCTTCTCACTGACCACTGCCAACGGGACAGTCTCCTTCACTGAGATGGTCCAGGTGGGTGGCCATGGACGGAGCCAGGCCTGAGCTGCGGTGTCCTCTCGGCCTGGGCCTGTCTCCCTGATGCGTCCGCTTGGTGGCGGGGAGCTCCGACCTCAGCTGGGACTGCTGAGTCCTCGGGGAGGGGTGTCTCTGGGCGCAGGAACCGGCAGGAAAGAATTCCAGCTTGGGTCCAGCCTCAGGGGACCCCAGGTTTATTTTTCCACCTTGAGCCCAGGGGTCTTCCTGCCACTGTGCACCCTGGCAAAGCTGGAGTTTTCTGTGTCCGCTCCTCGTATGAGCAGGAGAGGCCGCCTCGAGTGTGGGAGCTCCCAGCCCACGGACGGGCCACGCGTGCCTGGTCCACCGGGTGCGGGGGTCTGGTGTCTGCCTTGGCTTTTAGGACCTGAGGGAGGGCAGCCGGCTTCAAAGCAACACGGGAAGTTTCCTAAGTAGTGAATAAGATGAGTGAAAGTATAAGACGTAGATTCCAAGTTCCCCCCAAATCCCCCCCCCCCC